AAAGGATAAAATTAAAAGGATCTTATAGTAAAAAATAAAAAAAAAAAATAGAAAATGTAATAACAAATGCTTTTGAAATTAAAGGTAAAGCTCAATTTATTAGAGCATGAGGATTATTTTTTTTTTCAAAATTTAACAGATGGTTAAACACAAGGTTGCCATTATATTAGAATAAATTATACAAATTTTGACATCTAAAATCAAATGTAAATTGCATACGAAATTATAAAAAATTTTTTTTTTTTCATTTAACCTTAAAATTAATCCGATTAATTTTTGTATTTTATTTTCAATGTTAAAAATTTAAACAGATCAAAATGTTTTACATGCTATGTATAATTAATTATAAAGTTAAATTAAAGATTAACTTCTGCTCTACTTTAACTCTAAATTGTTGTTATAATGTAAAATCTAAAATTTTAATCTATACATCGTTAAAATTATTAAATACCCTTACTCTGTCATTATAATTACTCCTATTACCTTACATTCCATCTGTATAATCACAAACTTTCTTTATCTTAATGGAAATTTCTTCATGCAACTGCAGAACAGATGGATGACGTAATCAAAGGAACGAGTTAAAGGCAGAAAAATTCATTGAAAAAATTTTTCTCCTCGAACTGGACTCGAACCAGTGACCTAACGCTTTCTAGGCGGACGCTCTACCAACTGAGCTACAGAGGCATGAAGAAATTGCCGACGAAATGTTCTCTACATTGCTTGTACTGTAATTCACATTTTATTCAATTGTACAAACTTTCTCTTTAAACAAGAATAATTAAAGCATACAGCTGACACAGTTCTCTCCCCCTTCCTTGTATTAAAATTTATTGATTCTGTGAGTTTCTCAGAACTGCCATTTGGACTTTTTACAATCATGGATATAATTTTTTCAAAAAGGACAGTCAGCTTGCTTAATTGAATAAATTGAGTACAGCTATTAAGGAATTGAAATAATTTCGAATAAATTTTAGAAAATGTTGGAATATACCTCTGTACCAATTTTTAAATTTTTTTTTTGTATAAAAAATTCTAAAAATTTTTTAATTATTACCGGGATTAAAATAAATTTTAAGTTCCAAAGCAACTACAGCCTAAAAAGGCTTAGACAATCGCTTAAAATAGAAGTTGTTGGCAGCTATTCAAATCAAAATTTAGTGAACTTATCTGAATTAGTTTTTGAATTATCATCGAGATGGAAGAATACTAATTATTACCAGTTAAAAAGGGAGTCGAATCAGAAAATTATCTTTCAACTTACCATTTACGAAGGGACGGATACGAATTTTTACAAATATAATTCGTATATATAGTTCGTAATTCGTAATTAGTTGTTGCCGTTTCCTTTGTGTCAAAATTAAACGCACCGGTAAATGTAATACCGTTGGTTAGCTTTATGTTTTCAATATAACTATTTGTTTTTCTGTTTTTAAAAATGAGTTTTCTTTAAAACTTTTTTTTTTCTTTAGAATTTTTAGGAATAAAATATTTTTGATTTAAAATTTCCATATTTATGTTATAATACAAAATATGTATACAGAATTGTAAAAACAAAATAACAAAAAAACATTTTTAAAACATGCAGAGTTTTGCAATAACATTTACAAATATAGAATTGAATTAGGTTACACGATATTTTATTGTTTATATAACAATCTATAACTACATATTTATAACAAAAAATTCATAATATTTAAGATATAAATTCGTAGTTTTTAAATACAAGTTTCATGCAACTTGCTATACCCAATTCGAATCAATAGTTTGTTACAACTCTGTTGACAGTTTAATTTTATTATAATTTCGGAATTTTTAAATTTTTTTTATATTTTGATAGAAATGCTAAATGAAAATTATTCCTGGTTTTTATTTTTAAGAAATTGTTTAAGTTTTAAATTTATAATATGAAATTTGGACATATTTGTGATAATAAGTGTAAAATTTGAATGAAATGTTGAAAATCTATAATTAATTTATTCAAATTGTGCTACTAAAGGGTAAATTTTAAGTTTAATTGTGTACCAGCGGGTACAAAGTAATAATGACAATTTGTTTTTGCCCTACTTTTTGAAAATTGGTGTAAATTTTTGTACGAAATAAATACAGGAAGAAAGTTTCTTCATATATAACTGCAAATTTGGCAAATAGCATGAAGAAAAGAATGTTGGGAGGGGTTAAGGTAGAAAAATTTTAAAAGTTCTTTTACAAGTTTCTTGTAATTTTTTAGTTTAAAAGTGAATTTAATTTTAGATTTAAATTAAAATTTCTTCTGAACCTTACATTCCTCCTAATCCTGTTGTTTAGTTAGAGATCTCTTACATCTTACTTGTGTCTTACATTTAAATTTTATATTTTGCAGGAAAATTTTGGAATGTAGGAATAAAAGCCTTTACAGTCTTTATTTCAATTATATTAAAAAATCAACTCCTTTAATAAATTTTAAAATGTACAATTATTTTTCCCATTCTTGAAATTCTTTATAAATTTTAAAGGGTTTAACCTTCCTTTTTTATGTAATTTATAATTAATTATATAATGTCTTCCAATTTAAACCCTTTTCGAATTTCTTATAATAAAAGACAAAAAAAAAGCAAATAATTAAAACCTCAAAAGATATTATGTAACAAGGAAAATTCATCTTTGGTTTTAAATGAAAGGCAAACGATCTCATTTATAGAGAAATAACAAATGTACAATGTACGTGTGCATATTTGAATTATCCTCTAAGAAAATAAAGAAAAAACCAAAACAAAAAGGATTGGAATGTGTTTTCCAAACCGCAAAATAATTTTTGGATGTAGACAAATTTCAAAATTTTACCACAAAAAAAAAAATCCTGTTTGTTTTTTTTTTTTTTGGCGAATTTTCAATTTTAAATTTTGGTTACAAGCAATTTCTTACTTAGTGGTTTAATGGTTTTAAATTTTAGTTCTCTAAAAACTGATAAAATATAATCGTCCTGTCTATTGTAAACAAATAGCCATTAAATTTATTTGCGATAATTTCAGACACAGTTTTTGTTTTGTAATGATAAAAATGTTTTATTGAGGCCTGTAACTATAGAGGAACTAATATCGTTGTATACAGACAACTTGAAAATTTTGTCAATATGCCAATTTTTAATTCTTTCTAAAATTTTAATTCTTAATGAATTCAATACATTCTATTTTATTTCAATTTCATTATTGTAGCCAACTTTGGATATTTGTCTCCTATTGATTTCATGTCCAAAATGATGGGGGAATAAATTTATGTTCCAAAATATTTACGGAATGGGACAGGAATTGTTTTTATTTCTCATCGTCGAATAATTTTATTTTCGTGTAAGTCTTTTTTAAAGATAAAATCTGTTTATCTTACCTTGATACAATAAAATAAAAATTGCTTGCAACTGGAGAAATATTGTTGCCAAATCCAATTTTTTAAACCAACATTTTGAATTTATTGGATTTCTCTTAAAACCCATCCCGTACATTTTTGTATAACAGAAGTAATATTGTGTACAAATACATGTTACCTGTTCCAAAAAATAAAAAATTTCTGTATCAATTTTTAAAATTACTTTGTTCCTGTTCATACTTAAAAGAAAAATTTTTGTACATCTACTTTGAATTCTTTAGAAAATTTCGTTGCTCTGTCACAAAATTTTAACGTAATTGATTTTGTTCCGTAGACTGTATGAATGTAATTCAACATATTATTGCTATATCTATACATTATATAGGTATATGTTACAAATTTATGACTCTAAGATGCATGTATACTTGAAAAGTTTGTGGGTTTTCTACTTGCAAAAGAGATTTTTTTTAAAAATCTAAAATAATTAAATTTATGTCATTTTTATTTCTCTATATTGAAACGATAAAAATAAATTGAGTTACTTTACATATGTACGAGTACATACGTAATATGTACACATTATTTCGTCCTTGATAGCTTGATATATGTGAAGAGATTTTTTACACGCATGTTGTTTTATTATATACATATTTTCTTTAAAGTGAACAAAATATTGAAAAAAGTGGAAGAATATTTAATTTTTCTATACTTGATATAAAATTTTACTCAATACCCTTGCTTTCCCTTTTTCTACTCTTTTAAAGAACATAGGGTAACTAAAAAATTTCTCCAACTAACTCTATTGTGTACCACTAACTGTATATCGGGCCGTGTTCTTTTCTATTTCTTTTTTAACTGATCTGCGCCCCGTTTCTTTCAGTCTATTCACTTTTCGCTTACCCTGGGGATTACTTCCTCAGGGTAAGGTCCCCTTTTGAATGATATTCTTTGGTCTTCTGTGGGTATGACCAATTCATTTTCGCTTTCTCCTCTTTATTTGGATCTCTATGGGTTCCTGCCCTATCAGCACCCACGGCTTTGAGTTCCTGGTTATTCTTGACCAGAATATCCCGTAAATAAGTGTGAGGCTTTTGTTTATTAAGACATTTTACATTTTTTATTAGTTAGATCTCACATCCACATAAGCGCACCGATTTTGCGCAGGTGCACCCTTAGCTCCACATCCTCATAATAGTGACTTTATGTTAGTTATTTTGTTTTGAAATGCCCATATTTGCTAAAAAGTGTCATATTGCTTCCCGATTGATTGTATTGAATGCACCTTCGAAATCCATGAAAGTAATATACATTACTGAATTCCATTCTATTGAATATTCTGCGATTATTCAAAGTGTGTTAGACTGCTTGGATTGTATTATAAGCGTACATTATATTATATAGTGTATTGTATATTGAATTTTGGATTGTATTATAAGCGCAAGTACTTTTATAGCTGCGTTCAGTATTGTTATATTGACAATACTGAATGCAGGACCCCGTCCTCCTAAAAAATAGTAATTAAATAATATTTTTTTATTAAATTATGATTTAATAATTATTTAATAAATTTAAAACAAGTTTTTTTTTCCATATTTATTAAATAGTAAATTTTTGTTTAAAATTTACAATGATTTCTTGTATATTTTGCATATTTACAGGGGCTCTGTAATTGGTATGCTTAAAGTTGGTAACAAATCATTATATGTATTTGATCAAACTGGTACAACACAAATGGTTGAAGCACCATGTATATTAGATTTTTATATACATGAATCACGTCAAAGAGCTGGTCTCGGTAAAGATTTATTTGAAACAATGTTACAAGAGGAACAATGGGATCCACGTAAATTGGCAATTGATAGACCATCAGATAAATTATTGGGTTTTTTGAAAAAACATTATGGATTAGAAAAAACCATTCCACAAATGAATAATTTTGTTATATTTGAGGGATTCTTTGATAAAACTGAAAATGGTAATGTTATTAATAATAACAATTACGATAATCAGAATATTAAAATAACAAGCAGGTAAGTTTATATTTTAGTATACATATATAAATATTTAATATTGTGAAATAGAAGTGAAATTTTATAATTGTGGAAGAAGAAACCAAAATTATTGATGAAAAGAATATTTCATTCGGGATTTTAATATTAAATTGCTATTGGATTTTTTTTTTGTCATAATTATCTCTACATTTCTTTTGTATTAGTTATGTACCTCTATATATATGTATATAAAAAGATATGAATGTATAAATAATATTTTTGTAATAGTGTTAACATTTATGTATAGCTAAATAATATTATGTAAATAAATAAATTGAACCCCATAATATATTTATTTACTTTTATTAGGAATGATACAAGATAAATTTCCAACTTACCTTACTCATTTACGTATAGGTCTAAAATATATTGTATATCGATTTATTATTGTGTTTTTTATTTTCGGTTCAACCATAACAATTGTACAATCTTATTGATTTGAATGTGTATACGACGCATTATCAGTTTATACAAACAAAATATAATGGGTGATTTTTTGAGTATTTGATTTTTAAATTTTAAAATTGTAATTGTTATTTGACTTTATTCCATGCTTTCCATTTAATTATGATTTCATGTATAAATGTTCGCCAAAACAAGGTTTTCGCTCTTTCATTCGAAGAGTCCAATTTTGGAGTAATTTTTCCGAACATTTCAATGGCAGGAACTTTTCGTCCTGTATACTATATCAACCGCAATATCACCATTTACATTTAAGTTTAATATTGTTGTTCACAACTGCAATCAAATTCGCATGATTGATACAGGGAACAGATCTCATGTGAAACCAAATAATATGTAGTTTAATATCGTTAAATCGCTTTATGTCAGTGATCAAATTGATAGGTACAAAATATGAAATTAATTATTACTTACCATAAAATTAATTCAATAATTTAATTTATTAATAAATTGGTGTAATAATTTGGGAGTATTGTTTGGGTGCCTCACTTTCTAATCCAAATCAAATGGGAAGCTAAGATCACTTAACTTGACGTTGACAACTGTAATGCGAATCACGTGTGAAATGTCAAAAATAATAATTTAGAGAATCAAATAGCATAAAAAAACACTCATTCTTATAAATTAAAGATAAAATTTTTTTTTACTCACCTTAAGGGTTTTTACTAATATTTTTAAAGTTATGTATATGTGTGTATATTTAAGGACAATACCTTGTTTATTTTACGAAAAATGATAAAGAAAACTATTTTTGAAATTTTTATTTTTTTGTTTTTCTGTTTCTTCTTTTTTTTTCAATAATAATAAAGTTACGAAAAATGTAATTTATGACTTATGATTTATTAAAATATTCTTTTTTTTTTAAATAATAGTTATAAAGAAATTGTGATGTAATTTTGATGAAATTATAATATGTACAAACCTATAATATATGCAGTACAAACACATATATATATATTTACATAAATATAAATTATAAGCTATATAACCTTGAGAATAATTATTATTCTTTTCGGTATAGTTATGTTTTATTCATAGTTTTCTTTTTCCTTTAATATAAAAAATTTTTCATATTCAATTGTTTCAAATACTTAAAAGGTATATTTGTATGTATGTATGTAATTATCTCTTTTTATATTTCGTTTATGAACTGAATAAAAAATATAGATTTCCTTTATGCAGTGCAGTATATGGTAATGGTACCCGGACTGACTACCATGCAGAAATATTTTCCCATATTACGATTGGTTAACGAAGGACAATAATAATAATTTTTTATACGGTTATGACAAAATATCTACATAATTATACATACATATGTGCATTAAGTTATTAATAATTATTATATGATCCTGTAGATTTATTATTTTATATATTCATAAATTTAATGGTTATAATTAGAAATATTCTGATAAAAGATTCACAGTGAATTCCAAAAATATTATCAAAAATTATACCATAATTAAATCTGATTTATTTTAGAAATTGAATTTGTGAATTCAATTTTATACAGGATAATGTTTCAGTTCTAATGAAGCGCTACTGCATATTGTTGCAAAATTTTTTTGATTTCCTCAGCTCAATATTCTGAAATACTATAAAACTTTATTTACATTTCTATACAAATTATCAAGTTTCTATAGCGATTGTCTTTTCAAATCACGTTAGTTTTGCAAGTGGCCTAACAAACTATACACTTATATATATTTAGAACGGACTGACATGAGCGTTTATACTACGGATTTTAATTACCAAGCTTATATGCACAAACTGGTTTTTTGAATTAATATATAAGGAATTTGTGTTGATGATTTCAAGTCCCTAATTTTTCCTAATAGTCAAACTTCACTTTATGTCAATAACAAACCTCATTTATTCGATGTCACACGACTTTTTATAGTTAATCGAAAAGAATCAAAAAGAAAACAACAGTTATTTGAAAAATTAACAATTGCATGGATTCATTCGAACACAGTATAATAGCTAGATAAAATTAAACTATAGTTATATAAGTTCTATGCTTTTACAAATGCCATAAATATAAAAAGTAAGCTTTTAAACGCATTTCATAATTGCTTTTAATTATACATTTTTTTATCTTAATCCAATTTCATTTCATTTTTATTATATGGGGTTCAATTTATTTAATTTATATATATTGCATCTATCTCTATTTATATAAAATATTTATGTACTAATTTTATAATAACATTAAATATAAATTAACAACAAAAAAAAACTTTCATATATCATTATTAAAAACCAACCTAATTAGCCCTAACACAGCCCTATTTGGCCCACTAATAACATCAGATGATCGATTAAGGAGAAGTAGAGCAGAAAACACAGCCTCTCTAAATCCATTAACTGGTATACAAAATAATCCAATAGGTCGATATGCTGCAGCCCGACCAACATGCAGTATGGCAGAGGTATTTAATTATTAATAAAAACAAAAAAAATAAAAATAAAAAGAAAATCTTAAATTTTATTATAATTGTTAATTGTTTGTGTTTAATATACTTTTTATATGTTTGTGTATGCAATCTTTGTACTTACTAATAATTATTAACTATTTATTTATTTTAGTATTTTCGATTTTAATTTTATAAACTTTTTTCATTATATTCGTACAAATTGGTTGATTATATTCCAACGTATCAACCATAAACTATTTTAGAAAGAAAACGTAATGACAAAAGAATAACGGAAGTTTGACACAAGGTATAACTAAATTTTTTACAGATGTCGTTTATGAGTTAGTTTTAGAGACATCAAAGTAAAGTTTTTGAAAAGCTCAATAATATAAATGAAAAAAATGGGCGCTTCCGTGTTTTACGTCAGGGGAAATTCGGATCTGACAAAAAATGAATTCGTGCTTATTTTTAGTATCCGAGCGTTTAGATTTAAAAATTCGTGTTCAGCACAGCCAAAACGAGCTCATAAAATTAAAGGTCTTTTTACGGTCTTCTTTACGGTTAACACAGGCTCATAAAAATTCATAGAGCTATTTACTGTTCTGACGCTTCAATTTTGAAAAATTATCAAATGATAGAATAAGCACTAACGTGTTCGTTGTAAAAATCAGATTTCTCAGGCTTACTGCGAACCAGATAACTTTGAGATTTATTATTATTCTAATTCGAAGTTTTTCGCAAAGCAAGCAAACTTTTAATATGCATATACAATATTTAGAACAAAATCAAGCATTATATTATTTAGTACGTGAAGTTTCAAAGTAGAACAAAAGTTTATATTAAGATTTGGGAGTTTAACGTAGAGTTTACGTAAACCATATTTTACCGCCCTCAGTATAATTCGTAGCGACAATATTTGCGGAGCCAAATTTTATAAATTTATAATTAACCACAAATTATTTCTTAAGTGCTTATACATAAGTATATATGTACGTATGCTTTAATGTTAACGGAACTGCTTTTTCATACTGCTCATATTTAAAATATTTATAATTAACAGCCATTTTGCTTTTATACTAATTAAAATTCTTGAATTTGTATGAATATAAAAAATTATAATTTATTAGAGCTTCTATACTTGTATATTAACTTTAAAATATTCTTTAAATAAAATAGAGAAAAAAAAAGAATCAATTTTGCTTTGCTTTTTAAATTTTATTTTTTGACTTATTAAAACTTTAAAAATTTCATAATAATTTTTATTTCATTTTCAAACAGTTTGTTTTACAAGCGTTTTTTTTTACAATTTTCAAGTCGTTTTATTTTAATATTGTGTGAATTTTTTTTCGAAATAATTAGACAAAAGATTTGCGGTTAGTCGTTATAATTAATTGCATTTTATCGCATAATTTAAAAATTAAAATTATTTACAAGGAAAAATTACAAAGGCGCAAAATTTGTGTTTTTCAAAATTAAATTGAAAGGAACACACGCAATTTTTATTTTATTTAAAATTCGGAAATAATGGCAACACGAGCATCTAATGCAGTATGCGTTAAAAATAGTGCTAGTCAAAAAAGTGTCAAGAATATTATGAATAATGCACAGGTGATAAATTTTAAATCCGATTCGGGCTTTTTTTTCTTGTTACACAAAATACAAGTGAATTTTAAATGAAATTAAATTTTTCTTTTGTTAAATTAATTGCACCGCAGATCAAAGGCAAACAAAATGTTAAATCAAATCCAAGTCAAATTTCAACAGCAAGCAATGCATCACAATTGAATGGCCAAAAGCCTATGGTAAAATTAAAAAGACTATAATTATAAATTGACGAAATTTAATTAATAAGTCTTTATTGTTGTTTTTCAAATCTTCAAATTTAAGTTCAATAATATGACGAAATCGGCCACAAGCAGACCTATGATTGAAAAAAGATCGGTAAGTCAAATTGTTGGTTTTCATTTGTAGTGGTGTAATTGAAGTTATCGAATAACTTTAAATCAAGAACAATAATAATTTGTTATACGTATGTAAATCTGCTTCCATTACGCCATTTTGAGAAAAATTTGAAATGTGTTCCAATTTTTTACATAATTTAACTTAAATAACTTGCAGGGCCTTCAGGATATTGACACTGGAACATTTTATCAGATGTACTATGGAAATCGTAATATAGCAAATCCACAGGTAGTTTTTTCAAACTTAAAATAATGAGCGGTGTCTAAGCAACTTGTCCCATTATCTGAAATTTTATCTTCTCTATTTCTATAATATTGTAAGGAAATTTGTTTTCGTGTTTCACTAAAATATATATTGAAAATATTTTTAAATAACAAAGATAAAAGTGTTAAAGCGTATATTTAAAGTAAAATTAATTAAAAATCAAATTGTAGCTTCAAAATCCAATGAATTCTCAAATGATTCAACAAAATAATTTAACGGTTCAATCTGATATACAATCGCAAAATGTTACTCACCCACAATTTCAATATCAGCAGCTACCATTGAATCAGAGTTCGATTCCTATTCCACAATTATCACAACAGCAAATATTACAATCTCCAATACCGCAACAACAAACCATACAACCCCAAATCCCAAATCAAATTGTGCAAGTTCCACAACCTCAGTTAGTACAACAGCAAATACCACAACAAATTTTTTGTCAACAAACATTACAGCCAAACCCGCAACAACAATCGGATATTCAAGAATATCATCAACCGGTCGGTATATTATTTAGGAGTTTATACGCATATATAATAAATTTCCAAGTCTGTTATGATATCAAAATTTAATTCATTTAGCATTGTAACCATGATGTACTCTCTGAGCAACATTTGCAAGAGCAGTTCAAACAGCAGCAACCATCTCAACAGCAACAACAACAACTCCAGCAAAGCCAACAGGTATTTGGAGTATAAAAGTAGGAGGACTAAAGTTGAAATTTGAAAATAAATTAAAAAAAAAATAATAACTAAATTAAAAATTAATAAAAAATAAATATCCCTTAAGGTACCAATGCAATTGCAAATAAATAATCAACAGATGCCGCAGTTAACGCAACCGTCACAAATAGTTGACACGAATGTTGAAGTGAATAAAATTTTTTAATTTTATAAAGCCTATTTACAATGTTCAATGGACTGAAAGCTTTTACTTTGTTTTAATACACTCTTACCTATATAATTATCAAACAGAGATAACAACAGTTTATTAAAAAGGGGTGCAAAATAAAGTATAAAGGTTTCAACACATTGAGCAGGATAAATCATTTATTTCCGCATTGTCTAAAATACTGATTTTAATTATTAAGGGACTGCAACAATGTCAGTATCAAGAAACATGTCCAAATTGTTCAACAACATTTTATTGCACTGTTGCTAATCCGTGTGTAATTCAACAAGTGCAATAGATTTTATCAGAGAAGAGGAAAAAATTAACTGAAATCAAAAATTTCTGAATGCTTTAAATTTAAAAGGAACGTACAAATTTAAATTTAAAATTATAGTAAAATAATATATAAGTTGATATTTGAACTTAAATGACGAAAGAGATAGCAAATATTTTGTAGTTATTCTCACTTTTTGTAATTTTTTATAAGGTCATAAACATTAATAAATTTTAAAAATTCTAGTATATTTTTAAGTGTTTTATTAAAAGAATTTAAATTAAATCAGCTGCGTTGGCAATGTATTAAAATTTATGACATGTACGTCATGTCGCGTTAAAATTCGTGATTAACGTCAGTTGCATGTATTCGATTCGAACGCAGCTGAATTTATTTGTAGTATGTCAGTAGGTATGATTCAATTACTTATAATCCTGCCAGTATTGACATTTAACTAAATCTTCAAAATAAACTAGTTAAATACCTAAATTGAAATTTAATGGAAATAATTCCTATCTATGTATGAGTAGTTATATGTCTAGGTATTTATCCTGAAAGTCATTTATTTAATGTATTTAAACTATGGTGCTGTTTAAAAAACAAAAAAAGTGAAAACAGTCACATTTTTATTGTTTTTTCTTTCTTGTACATGCAAAATTATTTTAAAGAAAAATATAAAAATTCTTAAAACCTCATTTTAAAATTTCCGTTCTTAATAATCTTCTGCCTCATAAAATAACTCGTTCAAGTGAACACCGCTGATTTTTTTTTAACTTTTACTTTTCTTCTTGTGGGCTTCAAAATAATAAAAAAAAAATCTTTATTTTTTACTTTATTTTAATGCGGAAATATATATATCGTCACCATTATATCTTTTAAAAAGTATTTTGCTTTAAAGTTTATTTGGAACATTGTCTACAGCTGGTCTACAATAACTCTTAAGTAGCAATATAAAATTCTTTAAAACTATTTTACAAAAACCCCCAAAGAATAATGTTGTGCCTATCATTCTTACTATTTAATAAGGAGTATAATATAAGGAAAGTAAATGAATGTATATGTATAGAGTTGGAATTACCACCATCGCAACCAAACACCGGATATGCATGGAAAGTGAAAATTCCTTTCGTGTTTAATATAGATTAATTTACGATGCAATCAAAATCTAAAAACCTAAAAAAGTAAACTAAAATCATTATTTGTATATATAATAAGGGAAAGAGTACATAGTATACATATATACTTACTTACGATGTTTTGGTAATATATGCATAAAATACACATAAAAAAAATTCTGAAGTTCTAGAACAAAATATTCTTAAAACAAAGAACCAAAAAAAAAACGACTTAATATATAGGACTTCAACAATACAATATTATTATTGTTATTAAGGGTCGTATAATAAATAGGTACAACATGTTCAGTTGAATAGTTCCATAGTTTTGATATGCTAATATAAATTTTTATCATAATAAAAATATTATATTTTATTTTAGACTTACTTTTTTTTTTTTTGTTAAAAAAATCTATATTTTCTATGATTCCAGTGAATACAGGAAACTTTCGGCATATTTCCAAGAAATTGAAGGAAAAATATGCTTTTGTTATAGATTCCGCCTATGTTAGTCCATCTTTTCATCTTTCCGTTCTAAAATTTCTACATTATTCAAGCTAAAAAAGTAAAATTTTGGCAGCACATTATTTTTCTACATTCTAGAACAAAAGATTCGTAATAAATTTCCAATCCTTCAAAATTCAGTGAGAATTCAAGCTATGTGACAAATATTTCAGTTAACTAGAAAATTTCGGTCTTATGATTTGTATCGGATATGTGCTATTTTACAAACCTTAGTTAGGAATAATTCCTTCTATTTTGTTTTTATAAAATTGATTATAATTAATAAGAACAAGCATTAAATTTTGTGTTAAATAGAAAAATAAAATAAAAAATCTTAAAAATTTTATTTCGTGTATTTAATAACCATAATATTACGAAAGTTAAATTTAAACAGAAAATTTTGTTTATAAATAAAGTTTATATGCAAAGTTAAATTGTATGAATATTATGTAGGTAAACTTAACGACGTTAACCGCAAATCAATTTTTTTTTAAATTAATTAAAATTAAATTTATATTTTAAAATTAAAAAAAAAATTAAATTAACTCATAATTACTTAAAAATTATTATTATTTTCTTTTTGTATTATAATTTCAGATAATTCATAGTACATCAGCAAAAAAATCAACAGGAGAACCAAATAGGTAATTGAAAATAATTGAAGATGTTTTAATAATTTCATATTTTATATAATAATAATAAATGTGTAATGTAGTTTACAGAATTTAGATTTAGAAAGTAAATTACGAGAATCTACTACATGATCTTGATTATGAGTGAAAATGCGAGTGGATATATGAATGCACTGTTTTTGCTTTTGTATATTATGCATGTTTTCTTTATGAAAATATTGTAATCATTGTGAATAGTAAATTATTGCGGGTAGCATATACTTTAATTATTGTTTATAACAAATTTTAAATTTTAGTAGAATATGCGATTTGTAAATGAGTAATATTGAAAAAAGCACATAGCTTCATGACGTAGTGTAGAGCATAATAATAAATGGAACTAATTAAAAGAGGATTTTAAATTTAAATTTCCAAATTAGTATAGCTAATTTGATATAAAATAATATGAATAATTAGTATAATTAATATTATAAGCAAGAAACTTGTAATTCTTTACATCAAAAGATGAGATTTTTAATAATTTACGGGTTTGGGCTTAAATTTGTGAAATTTTTCAAATTTCAATGACTTTTAATTATTGTAGTGGAACTTTTAAAAGATTGACAACGTCATTATTTTTTATTTGATTTGATTTTTATTTTTGGAATAAAGATGTCGCTGTTTGTTATGCTTTTATATTGAAAATTTTTTAAGTTTAAATTATTTTTATAATTTTCTTTAATTTCTTTTTTAATTTTCTTTTATTTTTATTTTTATTTTCAGAATATCATAATACATACAAATAATTTTAAATAATCAAACAATGTTAATAAAATCTATTCATCTTATGTTTTGTTTTTTTTTGTTTTTTCTTCTCATATCAAAGGAAAATTTTCATTTTCATTTGTAATAAAACAAAAAAAAAATAGTAAAATCATCTTAAATTTAATATTAAATTTAATTTTAATTTTTTGTTATGATTTTTAATTTAAAATATTTTTTTCTGTTAATTTAATGTAAATTTAATTTTTTATGTACATGTTAAATTTTAAATTTATATGCATACATATGTATAAGTTATGTACTGTATAACGTACATTATATCATGTATTATTTTTTTATGTCAAATCTAACATTTCATTAAATATAAATTAAACACAATTTTATAAATTATATATTGTGTGTTAGCAATTTTACTTAAACAAATCAAAATGCAAATTAAAAATTAATTAATAAATTTCGTCCATTGATGCTTGATGTGTTTAGTTTATAAGTATGTAATATATAAATTAAATAAAAGTGACAATTCTATAAGAAAAACTGAAAAATTGTAAAATATTTTTATTAAGTATGTACATACGTCGTACTCGAATTGTAAAATTTATAAAATATTTTTGATTTGACTCAAAAATTCTAATTAAATTTCATAGTCCACCAGCTTTGATAATTTTTTTTATATAAAATTTTTATTGTATTTTTGAAGTTCCTCCTGGATTCACTTCAATAATATGAAATAATATGCGTTTAACATATGCAATATTAAAAACTTTTTGTTCTTATGCAATTGACACTTTATCTCTAAAATTTTAAGTAAAAAATAAATTGTATAACAGTTTTCGTTCCAAAATTTTAAATAAATTTTTAATTAATTTTGTTGTATTAGAATTTTAAAAAATGAAAAGATATTGAAAATGACATCTCCTGTTAATTTTTTTTCTCTTTATAAATAATTTATGTTGAAAAAAAAAATAAAAAGAAAAAAGACATTTATTTATTAATATTTTTTATGTTTTCATTATTTATTTTGTTTATCAATTTCTTACTTGCAGTTTCGTATTTTGATGTCTCATTTTTTGTTCTTGTATGTTGTAGAATTCGATTAATCTGAAACGCATTTTTAATTTAGTTTATAAATATTGTTGTCTACTAAAATGCAAATCTAACGTCAATTCAGTAACTGAAATTGTATTAATTAATAAATGAAATTGATATTAGATTTGCATTGCAGATTTGGTCTGTCATACAAAACATTAGGAATCATGAATCATACAAAATCATGAAGAATTTTTGTGACTCGAAAGTGTTATATTTGAAAAGTTGAAATTAATATGAATAGTTTAATGTATTGAACCGAAATGACAGGGTAATGTAAAAAAATATTTTGAGCAAAAGTACTTGCGCCAGTATTGAGAATCAGTATGTACTCAAATAAAATGAGTGAGTGTCAAATCGACCGAACCCAATCTCAATTTTTGCAAATGAAAATTTTATACTGTCAAATAATTTTCATACAAAAAAATGTAAGCAAAAATAACGTTAAAAATAGAAATAAAATTAGTTTTGTGAAAAAGAAATTTTTTATATTAAAAAGGAGATTAGTCATTCAAATAAAAATTTTATTCACTCCAAAAACTGTATGATGAATTTGATGTCAAAATATATAAGCTGAAATATTTATTAAATTTTTATTTACACCACTCAATGTATTACACATAAGTTTGTTCATCATTCAAGAATCAGGAAGCAGTAAGAATAATTTCAAAAACTTGAATTTTATATTGTATAATATGTACATACGTGTTCACACACATTTTGTGTGTCCGTTTTTTGTACAACCAAAGTATATATGATTTATTGGATATGAAATGCAGTCTCCAGCCAATTTGTATACTCGTATGTATGATAAAAGTATTTCTTTTGACATGAACTATTCACATGTTCTCACAAATCCTTGAGAGAGAAAATCGTTTGAATATAGAAAAACATACAGAAAAATCCTGTGACTGGTACAGAATTTCTAATCTCATCCTTTAAATTAAAACATATTTTTTTAAAGGAGATTATTTATATCGGAAAGTATTTTATTAAATTTTGTATTATCCGAGTAATTAAAAAAATTGTGTCATTTGTCACCTACACAATTATGGGCTCAGTATATTCATATTTAAAAAAGTACAAGAAAAATGCTAAGTATCCAGAAAGCTAGGTATCGTACATTAGAATTTATTTTAATAGAATATTTAATATAAGTATAACTTAAGGTATAAAAATTTTCAAAGTACATATTTTGTAATTTATACAATATATTCCTCATATAATTTATGCATTTATTAAAACTAAATAAAAAAAATATTCCTATTTTATTTTAAATTTTTTATATGAAAAATTAAACGACAGTTACACGCCATCAAATGATGATCAACAATCACATGTTACAGCTGATGATATTGAAAATGTTCGATCTGATTTTGAACAAATTGAAGTATCTGATTTAGTTACAGAACCAGATGAAAATGGCCCTGAACCTGTTGAACCCGATACAGAACCAGAAGCTGAAATACAAAATGAACCTGAAACAGAACAAGAATTAAATGATACAGTATCAGAAACTGGTACAAATGGTCCAACACCATCAGTACATTCTGATGCAGCTGGTACACCAACAATTAATTTAGATTCATCAAAACGACAAACATTAGTTAATGATCGTTATCGTGGTAATAAACAACATACCGGAATGAAAAATATGTCATTTGGTGTTGGTGCTGCTGTAACACCAACAACAAAAATGGAATTTTATCAAGAGCAACCAGCTGATTTTGGTATTGTTAAAATTAATCAACCAGGTGGAAAATCATTTAATTCATCAAATGATGATAATGCATCAGTTATATCATCAGTTACATCTGGTGATGGTTTTACTGGACAAGGATATTATGATTTGAAATTTCATCACAATAAATTATGGTAAAATAGATGCATGTATAAAAAAAGAAATAAAGATGAGAATTTCATTATAATAAAATTTAATTGTACGGTATTATGTAAAATCATAATTATAATAATAATATTCTATCAAAAGAAAATATTGAAAAGAAGAAATTTAATAATATTAAAATGGAATTATGGCAAGATACACATAGTATTTAATTATTAAGATGTGAAAATTTATATAATTTTTAATATTTACTATATATTGATTAATATAAAAGAAAATTTTTATTTTGCATATATGGGCCTTTGCTTGTAAAAATGTAATATTTTTAAAGTACCTGTTATAATTTAAAATTTTGTTTTGTTTTCTTCATTAGAAAGTTATTGTAAAAATATTATTTAGCATTTATTTATAAGTATTTAATAATTAAAATTTAAAAATTATAATTTATGTAATTTTGCACATTATTTGAAATAGATTTAATACTAAAGTACTTATAACAAAAAGAAAAAATCAAAAGATTAACACCAAAATTTAAAATGAAGGGTTTTTGATTTCGAATCTCAAAAATCAAAGAGATAATTAATTTAATTTAATTTATTTAAATAAATATAATGCAACAATTGTATAAAAATAATTAATTGAAATTATTTTAACATTCCAATTCGTTTTTAACTATATTAAAATTTAGTTTTATATCCTCTTTTAATAAATTAATTAAATATTAGAATTTATTTTAAAACAATGTGCATACACTATATATTAACATCACTTTTGCACAGATTTTGTAATAACGTTCACACACAATTCTTGAAATTTGATTTTTTCATTTTTTGTTCCTATTTTAACAATTTTATTTTTATATTAAGAATATTAATTCTTTTGAATTGTAAATTTGATGTGAAATATTAATTTTAAATTCAGTACGAAAAGTACTGAATACATTTCCCAAAAATATTCGATTATTATCAATTATATTAATCACATACCACTTTAACCACATTTTCATCAAGCTAAAACTTAATTACATTGAACGATAGCCTTAAATCTATATGTATAATCCACTGTAATTAAAATGCAGATTTTAATGGCATCCTTCTTTATTCTAATTGCAATTTAAATTTCTAAACAAATTAGATTGCAGATTCCAGTTCACTAAATTAAATTAATTTTTATAATGTGCAAAAGTAGTACATAATTTTTTAATTGTTAATAATTTTTATTAATTATTTTATATTTTAATATTTCAAAAACATAATTTTAATTTAACTAATTAATTTGACTATAAATTAATCATAAAAGAAGAAGAGAAAGAAACAAAAAAATAAACAAAATAACATTATATAATATGCACAAAACTTACCAAAGAAACTTTACTTACTTAATATTCCTAAATAATTCCTATTAGTTTATGTTAATTATATAATTATACACTATTTATTATATAATTTAATAATCTGTTATTATTATATAAAGTACACCTATTATGCGTGTTATAAATTCAATATTATATTAGTTAAAAAAAAAATGATAATTTATTTTGTTAATACACTTACTCTTATATAAATAATTTAAGTTGTAATTTAAAAAGAAAAGTAATAATTTTTTCTATTTATTTTTTTGAGTGATAACCTAAAATATTACAAGAATAAGAGCGCAACTTGTATAATTAATAATTATGTTAAAAATTTTGTAATCCTTATGAAAAATTTCTCATACATTCATTCTGTTATATAAATATAAATAAATTATTATGTATATTTAAATAGTCCTGCACTAAAATATTATTTACAACTATATAAACACTAATAAATAGTTAAATTCAATTATTGTATTCATAATATTATTTGAAAATATTCTATATGCTTGAAGTTCTAATAAATTATTCAATAAGCTTCAAAATTTTACAATAAATATATTCAAGGAAAAAAAAAATCCAAAACAAAACAATAAAAATAAAATTGTGATTTAATTTTTAAAAAGTTTATAATATTATTATTATTATTTATTTAAGTGTAAACTAATTTAATTATTAAACATTATTCAAATATTTTATTAATTACATGCATGTTTTAAAAATAAAATTATTATTAATATTAAAAATATTTATACTGTATGTGCATTTGTTTTTACAGGGCACCACATCAAACGAAATTTCATAATTATATGATTTAAATAATAATGAAAATTATATTTTTTCTGCTAAAATTTTGAAAAGGAATAAAATTTTTTTTTTATAAAAGGATAATATTGAAAATGGTATTTATTATGAATTAATATAAAATGGAAGAACATTTTTAGATGTAAACATTTAGATGATGTAGTTTAAGCAAAAATTTAATAAATTAAATTTAATAAAATATACATATATATTAAAACTATAACAAGTTTACAAATAATATTTACCAAAAACAAAAAAAACAGTAATAATACAACATACATCATAGTATATAATATATTGAATAAGAAAACTGCTTAAAATTACGTATATATATATATATATATATATATATAAAATAAATATATTTATGAGTAATAATAAATAATAAAATACATTTATGTAGGTATATATTATATAAAAAAAATTATTTATATAGAAAACTAAGAGAATTACAATACTAGCAAATAATATATGAATAAAATACAGAGTGGTAAAAAAAAATTCATGTAAGAACAAAACAATGCGCTACTGTACAAAGCCAGTTTTGTTCTGTACCACCACAATAAAATATAATGATAAATAATTAAAAGTACAATAATTGAGAAAATAAATTCAAGTCTCTGTCCAAACAATTTGCGTCAATAGTATAAAAGTATAGTTTACAAGTGAGATATAATAATTAAAATAACTACATATTCAATAAAATTCCCGCATACGAGTATAATCAATTATCCTACTTAATACAATATATTGTATAGTTTCTAACTTTCATATTATATCCTCATCTAACCTGTACCTATATTTCACGTTTTACATTTTAATAATTCCTTGTTTTTCTATATACCTTATAAAAGTGATTACTGTAACTAAATTCAAGTAATTAAAAATTATACAGAAAATGTAAAGTTTTCTGTTTCAATAAAATTAAAATTTCCATTTTCTCCAAGACAGCTATCAGAGAAAATTCGGCTTTAAGCTACTTCTTGAATAAAATTTCATTGTTTTTGGAAATAAATTGATCCATTGATCTGGGTATGAAAAAATATATCGCTTAAACTATTAAAAATATAATAAAGTTATTAGAAACTGTACAACAAATATAATAAAAAAATATTAAACAAAAATGGACGCAAATTTAAGCGACGGCTTTTTTTCAATTTTCAATTACGTGACATACATACATATTTTGAAAATTTTATAAAAGTTTAATTAGACAAATTTTTATAATAGAAAATAAATAAAATTGTTTAGTTATTTAAAAAATTTTAGGAAATAAAACCTATATAATAAAAATTAAAACACTTTTATATGCTGAAATTTATTCGAAATATTGGGAAAATTATAGAAGAACAATAGCATTCTTTTATTTAAGTCTAAACAACAAGCCGAAAGTATGAAATTGTGTAACAGGTCAGAACATGATTCAAAAATAAAATAATAATTAAAAAACTTGTTAATTGCAATTTTATAAGAATCTCAATATCAGTTTTTCCTTATTTTAATATTTTTAATTTTATATATTCAAAATATTGTTTTTGATTAGAAGAGAAAAAAATAATGTAATTATTTCAATTATACTTTCAAAAACATTGAAAAATACCAAAATACTAAATGCCTACAATAATAAATTCAAGTAAAATTTCAAAATATTAAATGAATTTTGTTTTTTATATAATTGCAATTAATAATATTAAAATATTATAAGTAAAATTAAATTTGAAAGTAATGACAGAGAAAAAACGATTGGTGCACTTAATTAATGAATTGATATTTATATGTGACAAACAAAGTCAGTATAATATGGAGGAATTTTCTCCAAAAACTTTTTCTTAACATCGCTATATACTGGTTATGAATATTAGCCAGAACTATATACTAAGCTATCTAAGTAAGTCAAAGTACAATTTTCTCAAAATCATTTAAATGCATAATTGAACATAAGATTTTAAAATTTTCTATCATTGTTGTTCAATAATCAAAAATAAAAAAAATTAATTTTGTCGTATAACAAATTCAATATTTTTTTTTATAAAACTTTTAAATTTACTTGATATATAAAATATACTTGATATAAAACTCTTAAAATTAAAAGTATTAAATAAAAATAAATACTAAAATTACCATAAAAAATTTAATGAAATTTAAAAATAATAATATAATTTAAATAAAAAAAAAAAATTAATAAAAACACCGTGATATTATCACAAAAGAATTGTAATAAAAAAATAATTTAAATATTATAAAGTACCTATATTATATATTTATTATATTTATTATATATGTATGTCAGAAAATAAATTAGAATATTTAAAAGAACATAATTAATATTCTCTAACTTCAAAATTGTAAAAAAAAGCAATCTTAACTCATTAACTGAATTGTTTTCTACACTGCAATTTTGAAGTTGAGGATAATTTACTAATGATAGATTAATAATATTAAATACTTGTATTTAAGGACCAATATGTTACAAAAAATTTTTTTTCAAAATACTAGAGAGAATTCCAAATATATATTTTTTATTTTTCATTTTTAGCTTACATTATATCCGCACCGAAAGTACGTAAATAAAAAAAAAATGAACTGAATAAATATTCCAGCCAAATTCCGTAAAATTTATTACCTACACAGTATATACAAAAAAAATATCGCTTTTTCATTATTTTATGTATTTTTTTCAAATTTTAGAAAAAATTTCAAGTTCATGGGAAAACAATGTTATTCAATCCAATTCTAATGATATCCCACATTTCTTGTATATCAATGACAACATAATTAAATTATTAAGGTAAAGGAATGAAATTCATATGGATAAAATTTAATTAAAAAATATAATTTTAATAAATTTTTAAATTTCAATTTTTTCCATTTATTAATTAATTCTGTCGTCCCTGATATCATTAAGATAAATTGTTAATATTACAATTTTTGTTTTGTTTCAATTAAAAAAATTAAAACTAAAATTTTACTTCTGACAAAATATCATAAAAATATTTAAAATAAAAATGAAAAATTTATAAAAAATTTATAATATAATTGTAATCACATGTCTACCTTTATATAATTATTATAATATACATACATGTATTTTTTGGCTATTGAAATTAAAACAAAAAAAAAATAAAATATGAAAATTTGAAAAATAAAAGAAAAATTTTACATTTGTACCATTTAAAAAAAAAAAAAACAAAACAAAACAAATATTTAAATGAATAAACTACAAATCAAAATAAATTTAGATTATAAAATCAAAAAAAAAAAACATTGAGTTTTATTCAATTTAATTTTATTTTAATATTAGAAATTAAAATTTTAAAATTAGATATTAATTGCAATAACATTTAAATTATAAATGCAAATGGTAAGTATTTTGGTCTAAATTGGTAATTCCTGATAAATCGAAAAGTCTATTGAGATTTACTATGTCTATTAATATCGCTTTTGAAAGTACAACTACCAAAAACCAGAGGAGGATCACTTATTCGAAAAAAAAAAAATTGAAATATTTCTACACTGCATTAGTGATCCGGGTTTTAAGAGTGGTGTTGAAGAAAATATTCTATGTATCATTAGAGTGTACGCAACCATTCAGTACGTTCGTATTAAAAATATGCGAGAAAGCACATAAGTAAATTAAATTCCGTCAATTCCGATTGAGCTAAAAGAAAGTGGAAAAAATGTTTTAAAATTCCTACTGTGATTAATGCTACATTTTAAACAAATTTACCAAAAATAGTTTGCTTTCAACTATTTTATTTTTCATGATTTCCTCAAGATTTAACATTTTTTCGAATTTTAACATTAAAATATTTGTAAGACTTCAAATAGGTATTAATAACTACTTTAAGACAATGCAGAAAAGCTACATGATTTCAAAAATAAAATATTAAAAAATCATTCACTTTGTTAAATAAAACTTTTTTATTTGTATATAAAATTTGTGTAAAATACTTTTACAAAAAAAAAAAAAAATATGCTTGCATAATAAAGTTTTTCATATATAATATGTATTTAAATTTATGTATATATATATATATAGAGTTTATTTATATATATAAAAAAAATAGCACAATATAGCAATATATAAAACATAATTTTGATTTTTCACTTATTTTATACATACATAAGAATTTTTATAGACATTTTCTTTTTATTTTTATTATTTTTTTTTTTTATTAATTGATTTGATAATAAAAATTGTTATATTTAAAATAGAGAACTTTAAAAATACTAAATAATTAATTTTTTTTTTTCTTTTCTTATTTTTAAACATTTCAATCAATATAAATAATATACATTTGAGTTAAACTATAAAATATTCAATTTTAAAATTTTAATTTTTTTTTTGGTAAATCTAAAAAAAGAAAAACTAATTTTGATATATAAAAATTTGTATTAAAAATCTGGAATATTTTCTTATGAATGAATTTATTACAAAAATAATTAAAATATTGTATAACATTGAATTAGTTTAACTCAATTTTCATTATAAAAAATTTTATTTTAATTATTTTTAAAAGCACTTTGTGTATAATATATTTTTTTTTTAAATATAAAAATATTATAAGCTTGCAATAACACATACCCTACTAAATAATTGTCAAAAATATTAATTATGCGTAAAGTAAAAAATAATAATTAAAATATTCAATAGTTTTATATATGTAATTATGTGGTTTACATGGAAAATATTTAAATGTAATAATATAATTATATTAATAAAAAATTATAATTATAAATTTTTTTACAAATTGATAATAATTATTAATATTAATCTACATTTTCGTATTTGAAATTTTCAAAAAATTTTTTTTTATCGTTTTCGTGAACATTATATGTAATATTAATATAAAAGCTTTTGGGAATGTTATCACATTCGACATTAGATTAAGTATAAAAATAAAAATTAGATCTATAAATTTTTAATAAGATTTTTAGTTTCAAAAGAAAACTTTTGAAATGAATTAAGAAGAACGATTAAAAAAAAAAAAGATTAATTGTAAATCGCAACAAAATCGCACCCACACTCTCTCAAATGTATCGATCACTTGAGGCAGCAGAATATTACTTTAAAAATGTTGTAATTTTCAGAATAAAATTAATTTCGAAAATTGATATTTTATATTGCAAAATTTTTGAATAATATCCTATCTCTCCAAGTGATACATCTTAAATACTATGGGTGAAAATTGCACCGATAACAACTATACTGAATAAATTTTAATTGAATTAAAAAATTCTAATTTATTTAAAAATATAAAAATATTTTTGTTTCAAATAATACTTAACGAAATATTACAGTGATTAGAAATGCTAAATTATAAAATTTGAGTCTTTTTTTGTATATTCGCATTAATTTCAATTTAAATTATTTATAAATTAATATGAATGATTTGTAGTAAACAGAAAGTTTGAGTTAATGAAAAATTGAATAACGAAATTAAGAATTAAATATATGACTAAAACTTTGTTTCAATCTATACAGTGTTATTCCAAAAAAAAAAGTATATTAAAGAAGAAATAGAGATTGTTATTATTTAAAAGTTACTATTAAAATTTTTAAATTGATGATTACAAAACAAATAAGGCATTTATGTTTGTTTACTTAGTAAAAATATTTGATTATTTATAAATTTTCAGATTCGAATTTTCAACATTTATTTATATCAAAAACACTATATAAAAAATATAGAGATATTTTAAAATACAATATATGTACAAATTTATTAGGGTTTATATAATATAAAAAATTTAAACTACATTTTATATGTTAATATACAAAATTACTTACATACATATATTGTATTTTAAATATATAAGGCTACTGCGTGCTATAGTAATTTTTAAATGTAGACTAAGATTCATTTGATATGTCACTAAAATTTTTAATTTTTCTGAAATAGTTTCTTCTTTTCATATTTTAAATAAAATAGCAATTAGAGAAATTATTTTTCAACATTTAGATTAAAATATAAAAATAAATCATAACATTTTTTGCATTTGCTTCATATATCTTTCTAGAATATTTATAATATTTACTTTATATAAATATGTAGGCGTGTTTAAAATATATTAATTAATTCTAAGAATTGTTATATTATTTTTTTAATTTAAAAATGATATATCCTATAATATTACGTGTATAGATCAAAGACATTTTTTTGTAATATTAAAAAAAGTTAAAACTCTTTAATCTTTTCTTCTAGTTCTACCTTGCGGATCTTCTCTAATTTGATTTAAGACTCTTGTTTTTTCAAAATCAATTGATCTATAGACTGTATTACTTTTTGGAGGAGTTTTAGTATCGCTTTGTTGTGATATTGTACTAATAATGCTGGAACGATTTGTACATGGTCCATTTGTAATTTCTAAATCACAATATTCCAATTTCTGAATTTGATTTGCCGGAATCTGTAAATTATTAGAAAAAGAATTTCCAGCAGGAACACTGCCACTTACTGGTGAAGTAATATTCTGCAAAAACAAATTATTATTGTTATATATTGCATTTCCTTGATTATTATTAATAAATGAATTATTATTATTGTTCATATTATTATTATGTTGTAAACTGGAGGGTTGATTCATTCGAGGTAATGTTTGCGTTTGAATTTCTCCAGCATTATTTAACGAAGAAAATTCGCTGGGAATGGTTAACGAAGCTGTTGGAATATGACTACGACGATTAGGAGATTCGGCTGACTGAAATTGAAAATTAAAATTTAAAATTTTTATTGCATTATAGAAATAAAAAATAAATTAACCTTGAAAGCAGGTTTTAATGTTCTATCAATAGATGGTGGTCGGATAGGAAACAAATCAGATGTAATCTTATTAAGAGTATTTGTTGATTTACTTTGCATAGAATTAGATCCCGTATTATCAAAATTATATTTTGGCTTTAATTCCCGATTTACTGGAGGTAAAATGTCTCCTTCATTTAAAAGTTGTGATTTCCCCTGAAAATGCATTCAAATAAAGTGTGTCAAAAATTTATTTATTTTACAAACCCTTTCAATAAAATCGTAACGAAATATATTTTCTTCATTTCTTTCCATATTCATGAATGGGTTTGAACGTGGAAGTGTTCCACTTTGAATATTTCCGAAATTCAATGTTTTGTTTTGATTGTCCGAGTAGAGATTTGGTGTTGATGCTGCAATTGAGTTATTCATATTGCAATATTGCTGAGTTCTTTGATCAGCAACCCACTAAAACAGCAAAAAAAATTATATTATGAAATTGATATACATATATAATTTTTTAGCATATTACCATTGAGGTGTTCTTAGCCAAAGCAGCGGGGGAGGTATTTTCAGTATCAGAAAATTGAGGAAAATCTTTAGAGTTCCTGCTGTGCAAATAAAATGAGCAATTTCAATATGAGCATTTTTAGTGATTCAATCAAATTTATAAAAAATAAATTTATTTACCTATCATCTATTTGCTTAGGTTGCAATTCTAAACGGCTTTTCAATTTCTGTTTTAAATTGAAATGATTTACTTCTTGCGGACTGTCATTTACTTTTTTATCATTCGTTTTTATTTTATCAGTTTCGGAATTTTCGTAACTAAATTTGGAAAACCTCTGATCATAAGAAAACACTATAAGATCATTCTCCACGGAACTGTCAGATGGTCGAGCTTTTCGATCTACAGAACAAAATTTTTTTTTATCACTGTGGGTTTTTAGACTAATATTTTATATTTACCACTGTTATTTCTAGATGGTCGATATGTTGATTCATCTTCGTCAGTAAATACAGATTCAGAATCTGTTGGGCTAGAATGTCCACTTTTTGCCTTATCTTGCAACTATGTTTAGAAAAATATTTTAAATAAATTTGAGGTCCAATTAAAAATAAATATAAAACAGATAAATTAATAAATATAAAACAGATAACACCCAAGCTTACCGTGAAGTTTGTAATTTTCGGAGAATAAGATTGATCGTTGCTTAAATTTAGTCCAAAATTTATGTGGCTATTCCGTGGCGTCTCATAAAATTTCGGATCTAAATTGTTAAGTGGAGTAGTAGGATTATTGCAGTACTTTGGGCTTCCTGAAAAACACTGACTTAACGGTATATATGGTCCTGAAGAAGTGCTTAAAGCTGGAGATGGTTCAACATTTCCACTCGAATCTTCGGCAGTATTGTTTAGTACCAAATTATCTGGAATTTTCTTTTTAACTGCACCACCGTGGCTCTTTAATGTTATTGACGAAATCTGTTCACTTTTTGAACGCGTATGGTTTGGAATAAAATTACTATTGTTATCATTTATCAATATTTTAGATTCATCCCGTGTATTTTGTCTAAAACTGCCAGATCTTATTGCTTTTTCTTTCAAAGCTTGAGGACGGTTATTTTGATCTAGACTGATGCTTTTATCACAACTACTTGCCTCTCTATTTATAAATTCAGTGTTAACATAAGGCATTTCATTAGTACATTGTACATCTTCACTAATGTTAAGATCACTAATTGCTTCAGCAATAGTATTGTCTGTTGATGTTCGGTGTAAATTTTCACTATTTGATGCTGTTGTTGGATTTTCTATTTGAATTTCTGCTATCACATTCGATGCACGTTCTTTACTGTTGTTTATTATTGTTTCATGAGATTCTTTTTTAGATTGATCATTTGGTGAAAGCAACAAATTATAATCTGAAATTGTTATAAAAATAGTTCAGCTTTTTGATAAATTATTATAAAAGTAACAACATAATTACATTGGCGATCATTCGAAGATTCATGTAAATTACAGACTTGACATATACAATTAACCCAGTCCCTCATATCATTTTCTGTATCGGCTGCCAAATAATAAGTTCTTCTTGGCGTTTTTATATCAAACATATATTGAAACTTTTGCTTTCGATGTTCTAAACGTAATCCTGAATCAACTTGTTCACATTGATCTAAATCTATAACACCTTTTAATTTTCTACAATTTCGGTCTGTATAATATTCAAGACAAAACTGTCCTGGAATCTCGCCTTGTTTCAAAGTGAACCACCGTCTTCTCCATCTCTGAAAATTACTTAAATTTTTTAGTATAATTCAAAAGCACATTTTGTACTGTATTAGGTATGTCTCTTTTTCCTAGAACCACGAAAAAAATCTTCTCAAATTTACTAGAAGCTTAAATAAGTTATTAAGGGCCAAAAGTTTTTGTAAAGTTTTTGTATTGGTTTATAAAATTTAGGTGTTTTTTTCTTTTTTCTGTGGATTCCTACACGCATTTAGAGTTCATATTAGCAAACTATTTTGGACAAAAGGACTTACTAAAGAGAAGGTTAACAGTAAAAGCGATTCATATCACTTCTGTTACAAAAAACATGAATGAAAGTCTAACAAAGGTATATATACCAAATGTAAGATCTTTATCGTTTTGTAGAAATAAATTCTAAAAGAGAATGTATTTTTCTGTGCATTATAAAAATCCGTTTATATTGCATTATGTTGCACTATAAAGATCTTCGCATTAAGTGAAGTACTTTTTTCAAAAATTAAATGCGTATTTAATAGTTTTTTTATAGATAACAATTGATTAAAAAGTAGTGTGTATCTCTAACACTTAACAATGACTCACGGCTCGTAAAATCCTCTTTGTTGGTGGTGATTTAATTAACCATCCTTCCTGTAAAACTTCTCTATTAACTTGCATTTTTGTTTGCATAACAAATTAAATTTCACATTTTTATTAAAATAACTTTTGAATTAAATATATAAAAATTAATTTTATAATAAAAAATATTTAGATCTTCTTCATATCAAAAGAAACATAAAAATATATCAATTGAAACTGGCAACTCTGTTTCTAGTTTTAAAAATATTCACAATTTTTTTTCTAAAAATGAAACGTTTGGTTTTGAAACATAAAAAAATGATGCAACAAGATAACTTTGTGTTTGAACTTCAAAAAATCAATTCGAAAATTTCTATAATCATTTTATTAAGAAAATTAAAATTTGCCTAGCTATCATATTATTTTTGATAGCTATCATACTATTTTTCTATATTATTCCAGATGCTTTAACATCTGTATAGTTAAGTTTACAGTTTTGTTTACATATACAATATCTCACAGAAAATAAACACACATTATAATATTATATAAGTGCACACCAAAAAAATAAACTAAATAATTATTGATTAACAATAAATTAATTAACTAATTTAACCTAGTTAAAAATTAATTAGGAACCATATCACGCCTATTGAAAAAAAATTTCGTTTTCATAAAAAAGTGCTTCGAAATTAATATAAAAGCTATTGAACTAGAAACAAGTTTGTAATTGTATACAAATGATTCAAGTTGCACTCGAAAAAAATAATTAGTCCAATTAGTCATTAATTTTATCATATACTTTGACATTGTCAAAAAGGAACATAAAACCTGATGATTATTTAATAAAAGTATCTACTGTAAAAATGTTTGCGAACCCTATCATAACCTGCGAAAATTTTAAAGACACATGAGAAACAGAAGAATTGAAACAAACTTTGCTATTCCGACATAAAATACAATTACCATATAATTTTCATTAAATTAAAAGTATTGATTTTAAAATTAAATAAAAATTAAATAAATATATATTTTTAAAGATGAGTACGCAACTCGTAAACAAAGCCGGTACAGGTTGGCCCAGAGGTGTTGTTAATGAAACCTCTGTTAAGCCAGCAATTAATCCTTCGATGACGATCAATAGGACTATTAATTTGTGAGTCGGCTTTTATAAATACATACATAAAACTATACATATTCTGTATTTTCATACATTTATATGCATATTTTTAATATAATTTTTCAATAAAGATATCCACTTACAAATTACACATTCGGAACTAAAGAACCCTTATTTGAAAAAGATCCTTCAGTACCAGCACGTTTTCAAAGAATGCGTGAAGAATTCGACAGAATAGGTATGAGACGTTCAGTAGAAGGTGTTTTACTTGTTCACGAGCATGGTCTTCCTCATGTTTTACTTTTGCAACTTGGTACAACATTTTTTAAGCTCCCTGGCGGAGAATTAAATGCTGGTGAAGATGAGGTGGAAGGATTGAAGAGACTTTTATCAGAGGTAATTACATTACGCGAATATTAAGATTATATATTTTAGCATTTTTTTTAAAAGCATTGATGAAGTAACTGATATAAGAAAATATTATTTTAGTAAATTTATTTGTTCAATAAAATAATGTCAAAAAGTGTATAATTATTCCTTTTTGTTTTTGTATATTTGAATGTGCTGAAAAAATGTATAAAAAAAATATTTAAGAAAATTTGTATATTACATTTAAATTGACATTATATTGATTATACATAATATTATTCATATTTATATTCAATTTTCATTAAAAAAAATTAAATTACATTTTGTATCTATTAAAAATAATATGTACATACATACGTTTCCATACAAAAAAAAAGAAAAAAGAAAACAACAAAATAATAATGTAACTAAAGTATGTTAATGATGAAAAAAGCCGTACCTATATTTTTTTTATATTAAAAATTTACTGCTATAGTAACTCGAGTTATTTATTAAGTATACATCATATTTATGTCGAAAATTTATTTTAATAAAATGTATAAATATAATGTTTGTTTGTGAAGACATTAGGCAGGCAAGATGGTATTAAACAAGATTGGATTGTAGAAGATACGATTGGCAATTGGTGGCGACCAAATTTTGAACCTCCACAATATCCATATATTCCACCACATATTACAAAACCAAAGGAACATAAAAGGCTATTCTTAGTTCAACTACATGAAAAGGGTAATGTGTAAAATAGAATTATAAAATTAATAATATACGGATAATAAGAAAATGAATTTAATGTTTGTAGTTTTATAAAAAATTTTATAAATTTTTGATAATTTAAATTATAATTTTTGAAATAGATTGTTTTATTTATTTGTTTAATTACTTTTTTTTTAAATATCAATTACGTTATGAGTTTTTGCTCAAAACTTTCATTATAAATTTTAATAAAAATTATAATTATTGTTATGTAAAATCAATCTATTTCAATCAAAAACAAAAAATTACATTATTTTGTAAAAGTTCTTTAATAATTATAATTTATTGATATTTTGTCGATCAGAAAAAAAATTCAATTCATCTGAATTCTCTATTCATAATCAATATTCAATTGAATTTTACGCAAATGAAATTATTTTTAAAATTAAGTTTTTGTAAAATATCAACTACATACATACATATATATTTTTTATGACAAATTCTTTTTGAATATAATTTAAAAAAAATGAAACCAAATTTTGTTATTAATTTTGTAAAAGAGTTTGTCTTTTAGGCCAGGGTATAACCTGTCAGATAAGGTTTTTTTTCCTTTCTTCAGAAAATGTAAAACTTTTTTAATCTTCTATTCAAAACAAAAATTTTTATTTTAACCTTTATATTTTATATCTTGTAGATAAATTTGTTTTTTCGTTATTAAAATATAAATGTTTGCTAATTGTCAAAAACGAAAATATTTTTTATAAAAATTATAAATTCAAAATATTTGTAAAAAGTAATTTTAACAAATAACATAATTGATGACTTTTTGAGTACCTACCGAAATCCAATTTTTTTATTTGAAAAGGTTTTGAAAAAACTTGTATTAAAAATGTTGTGAAACTAATATCATTTGATCTTCTTGAATCTAAGCTGTAATAAAAAAACAAAAAAAAAAAAAATTATGATATTTCTGAAAAGACTAAGCAAACGTAAATTACACAAAATTTTCTATAATAAGATTGCATTCAAAACCTTTAAAATTTTATTGAAAAATCAAACTAAAAAATTGGAATATAAAATACAAACTGAATTAAAAATAATATTGATATTGTAAAATGAATAATTAAAAAAAATTATAAACTTATATAATTATTTTGTACTCATCTTCATTAATTTTCGTTTACATTTTCTAAACATATTTTTAATTTCAAATTTACTTTTCTCATTTCAATAAAATCAAATAAAATAATTTTATAATTTTATTTTTTATATAGCATTATTTGCTGTACCGAAAAATTACAAGCTAGTTGCTGCTCCTCTATTTGAACTTTATGACAATTCTCAAGGCTATGGTCCAATTATTTCATCACTTCCTCAAGCACTGTGCCGGTATTATAAATTGATTATAATAAATAAATATTTAAAAAATTTGCAATATATATTAATATAATTTTAGATTTAATTTTATATATATGTGAGAGGAGGCTACTGAGCAGACGTCAGCATATGGAAATCAACAGCAACAACAAGAGCAGCAACTACATCAACAAAGACGTCCAAAAGAAAATAATCAAGATTTTTATCGATGGCATCGTTAAATTTTGTGTGTATGTAATAATTGAATTGAACAAGACACTTTAAATTATTATAACATATTTAAAAAAAAAAAACCTCATATTTTAATTAATTATAATTGAAGACCTTTCATATACTTATTATAATATAAAAGTAAAATCTTCTTATTAGACATGTAATTATTGTATTCTTTTTTTTTTTTTTTTTTTTTTGAGTAAATGATGAATTTCTAATCATAGATTTTTTTTAAGTTCTTAGCTAAAAATAAAATTAAAATAAGTTAATCGGATTTATATTAATGTTTAAATAAAAAAAATATTAAGACAAGGATTTAAAATATTTATTTTAAATTAACAGTTGATTTAATTCTCCAAAATCAATTCAGGAATATTAAATGTAAATATATTATTTGTTTCTTTTTTCCGGCGTCTTGTCAGTATTGGTAAATAATCGGATTGTTTTCAATAAACATTATATCTTGTTCTACTTGGCGAAGTTGATTTTCAATTTTAGTTTTTCGATTTCTTTTCCGAATCGTATCAGCATAAATAGATTCAGTCTAAGAAAAAGTTTTGTTATGAACATGTAAATCGAAAATTATAATTTACCTGATAGTTGTTCATAATTTCAAGCCAATTTTTCTTTAATCCCTAACAAAATATAAAGGAATATTAAGAAAATGAATAAAATATATAATTTAAGAAAAAGCTCTATAAGACAAATGTAAAAAATATGGTTTGAATTGTCAATTATGTTACCACAAGATTTAAAGCAAGGTGGAAGTTTCTATTAAAAAAGGAAAAAATGTTCAATAGGTATTGGATCAGAAAATATACCATATGGTTGTATACTTTTTTCAGATTTTTCCTTGCAAACTAGGCAAGAAATTTATCTTGTACATATCTTATTTTTTGCAAACGGATTCAATCCCTAAATAAAAATTACATACATATATAAATTTGCGTACCGCAATAATTTCACTTCTTGTTTTATTTTCAATCATATTGACATGTTTTGAAAATATGGACGTATTTTTGTTTTTCATTTGCGTAACCGAGAGATCTTCAACATTTTTCTGTCTGTCTTTTATATACCGCGGAATTTTTCCAAAGTTTGGTGAAAAAATATAAAAGGGTATTAGACCAGCATTGCATAAATGTACTGTATCACCCTTAGCATTAATTACGGCTTTCATTGAAAATGGTTTTTTCGAAATTTTAGAACAGTTTTGAATATTAATGTTTTGGAAGTTCTTTTTAATTTTGGAAGGCATTCTTGTTATATTATTTATTTCAAGTTTAGGAGAAGAAGTATGTGACATTTTTTCACACTTATGTGATGTTATTCGAGTAAATCGAATTCCATGGTTTTTACGCAAAAATTGGGATGGATCAGGACGAGGTGTTTCAATATAACCCATAGTTTTATGTGCAGAAAGTTTTGATCCCATTACCAAGATTTTCCTATTTGGTTTAGTTTTTTCTGAACGAATATCAAAAACTCTTTCCGCCTTAATTTTATTTTTGGATTTAGAAGTATATAATTCTGGCTTGATAGGTTCACCTGCAGGTTCTTTAGTAATGTTATAAATATTTTCATTATGGTGTGTTAAAAATGTCACAGACATCACGCTTATTATTTGCGTAGTTTCTAGATTATTAAAGAATGAAAATAAGAATTTTGTGATTATGTTGGCAATAAATAAAAAGTATTCTAAAGACTTCAGAAATTAAGATGTACATATGTATGTTTATACCTAATTTTTTTTAAACTGAATATTATTTTTTAATGACAATAATATTTTAAATTGTACAAAATTTTAAAGTGAGCATACACATAGCTTGCCTTAATCGAGATCTTTTTTTTAAATACAATATTGCTAATACTATTATATTCTTCTTTGTTATTATGTTTGAAGATTTATTTGTACTGAATTTCTATGTAATGTACCGAGCTGTGCCTCAAACAAAATGTCATTTATGGCCTTTTTAGCAAAAATTCTTTGTTGCGGTGAAGCGTTTTTTAATTCTAGAGCCCAAGACATAGCCAATATTTCTTCATCATTAAGCTTATATTTTACATTAGAATGAATATTATTTTGACTGACATCAATTTGGCGATCTGGTTCACTTTTTACGCTTCTAGAAACTTTTTTTGTGCTTAATGTACTATTACTACTTTCTGTTGAGTTCTGAAAATATAAAATTATTATCTTTTAATTTTTAATAATCACATTTTAAAACAACTTTGTATAAATTGTGCATGTTAGTAGGTTCCAACATAGATTTTCTATACAACATTGTTATTAAATTCGTTTTATACACAATTTAAATCGTAGTATATTTTTAATTAAATCGTTCGGTTCTTAAATTCTAATATATTTCAATGATTACCGTTGGAATTTGAGAATAATTATGTAATGGATCCTCTTGATTGTTTTCCGTTAATTCATCTTTGAGTGATTTTATTTCCAAATCTTCCTTCCGCATTATATTTTTTGCATCGTTGCACTTTTTTCTTAAATTAAATTTGCCATAAAAATTTTGCAAATAAAAAACTTGTTCTTACCTGTGCGCAAATAATCTTGCTGTGGCTGTATTGCATAGAGTTCTTTGACAAATATTGCAATGAGCAGTATATTTTCTACCATTCCGCAATAATACAAAGTTATTTTCTTCAAAATTTATTAACTTTGGCCTCCCCATAATAATGTTTTACTTTTAGACTGCACTTAATGCAGTTTCATATTCAATTAAAGGATTCCAAAATATGAAAATAAATACGTGTATTTAGTTTTTAATTTTAAATTTTTGTTTTAAAAAAGATAATGTAAACAAAATAAATGGTATTTGGTGTTTATATTTAAATAAAATTGACATTTTGTTGAAAGGTTTTCTGTGAATTTGACAACATTTCAGTTTATGTGAGTGACACTTACGATCATAAATAGAAAATTGCAAGTACGTACTAAAAATTGCAGATCCGAAAAGTTTCATTTTCTAATTCCCAAAATCGCATTAATATTTTCTCCGACAAGTGAATTTTTTTGTGTTACGATTTTTATTTTAACAAAATCAAAAAAAAAAAACTAATTAAGTCAAATTCATGCTTTAAAATAAAAGCAAAGTTTGTGATGGTTTAGTTGAAAATAAAATATATGTAAGTAAATTATAAACATAACTAATTGCTATTGTTACATTGCTATTTGCATTTCGAACTTAACTTAATCCTTGTTCGTCTGACAGAAACATATATATATTCATATGTATATTCAACCTACATATGTATTCCCAAGAAATATAAGTATTATAACAGTAAATTAAATTTTAAATGGTGTCGCCATTTACCGCCATTTACAGTAGTCTGTAATGAAACATAACCTATAGCTAATAATATGGAAATTTGAATTTAATTATTTCTTTTGGTTTCCTTTCCATTTTTTATTTTTCTTTATACTCTAGCTATTTTGTTACTTTTACCTACTTATGTATATATTAGCATATACTAGCTTTTATTTCTTGGAGTTGGTTATCCTTAATATTTTGGAATAATAAGAGAAAGGGATGAACCCAATTGTAATTAAATATTGTTTGAATTTCAACGACCTTCAATATTGTTGTTGGGTAACCAAGAGACTCTAGGTTTTTCATATTTGTTACAAATAAACAGTTAGGTGGGTCCTTACCATAGACAAACTCTATGTGCACATAAAAGATTGAAAAAAATAACTAAACAAATATAATTAACTAAAAAATTAAAAAATTTTTAATACTGTTATATAATACGATAAAATGTCATTGGTTTATATAACAACTCATGGAGAAAGCATTTATGACTGTGCTGAGAAGGAACCTGAAAAAGTTCTTAAACCAGCTAAATATGTTTCAATACATAGAAAAAGATTAAAATCAGAAAAATTTTTGGATGTTCAAGGTAAAAGAGATCCTAACATTAAAATATTAGTTTCGAAAGATCCTTCAAAAGCAATTCTCTCTTCCCATAAAACGATGGGTTACTCCGAAACACCACTTAAAAGTCCATGCGAATTTTTACGAAAAAATAGCGGTGTAAAATATTTTAAAATACCTGCGCACATTTGTGAAGAAGAGAAACCGCCCTTGCCCCCGGTGCCTAAAAGGTACGAACAAGGGAAATTTAAGCGGGAACCAAAAGATTTCAAAACTATGAATATTCAGACGGCCAGGGAGTCCACTCCTAAGAAACCAATTCAGAAATTGGTTAGCACAAGAGACGGATTAACGTACATGCTCTATGGATCGGGTCTAACGCCATATTATATTTGCTCTGAAAAATATGGAAAAGTACCAAGATATTTGAATGCGATGAAAAGATGTTTAAACGAATGTTACAAGGAAAAGGTTGAAACTAAACATATGCCAGAAGAAAGTTTGCCAAAAGGAATAAGGGCTTTATCAAGCAACGAAATCCGTGAAATAATTTTAGTAAGTACATATGTATATATGTATTTACATATGTATATACATATTTCAACTGTTAGTAACGGTAATACACCATGTATTCTATCTCCCTACATACATATTGTTTGCATGCATTCATAGTACATACTTTTATGTATATACATACTATTTTTACTGTCTAAATATGCTATTTGATATACAACCTTTATATTTTTAGGGTCTTAAGAAAAATTGGATGGATTTAACTCAAAAGTTTAATGTAATATAATTATAATACTTATGTTTGTTAAAAATATTAATTTAAATTCTTGAATTTTTTAGGCTTTGCCAGTTTTCATCGACACTGTACCGAAGCAAAAGCGGAAACATAAAATGGAACATAAATTACGAGAAATAGAACAGGATATACTCTTATTGGAAAAAAATCCTGTCATTTATGTGTGTGAAGACATTTAATGAAGACTACACTTTACATACGAGTATCTTTGTAATAATTATGTTTATATTTTAAAAATTGATAATAAATGCTGCACATATAGCTAACAAGAACAGAAAATAAATAATTATGTAGTAGTTTTTGTTATTAAGGAAGTAACTTGAATAATACTCAGGGCTACTGATATCGAGATATCTAATTGAGTTTTATCTAGAAAATTAAGATAACGTTATATTGATTTGTTTCATATCGATTATGAGATACAAAAATATTCTAATTAACTTTATGTTGTTATCACTAATAAGAAAATTAGTTTAAAATTTTTTCCGCACGTTGTTTAGAGTTAGTTTTTATTAAGAAAATGCATCCTAAACAAACTGAACGTTTTAAAGCTAACGATCGCGAACGAATGAGAATGCATAAGTTAAATGATGCGTTTGATATACTAAGAAAAAAATTATCATTTTATAGAAAAAAACATTTAGATCATGTAAAATCAAGAGCTTACTTTAAATTGTCGAAGATAGATACTTTACGATTAGCTCAAAACTATATTTCTACTCTAAAAATTTGTTTAAATTCTGAAAACCGTATATCTTTTGAAACTTTTACGGAAATAATAACGAAAAATTTAAGCGAAAATACAAAAAAAACCTTAAAAGAAAATATTGGTAACTCCTGGGAATATATTGAGGATTTTGTCAAAGGAACAGGGGATACTATAATTGTAAATTAAGGTTCTAGGTATTAAAACAATTGAATTTCTTTTCAGAAATCTTAGAATATATTATATTTTTAGACCCGGATTGTTTATGTCTCAAATTTCTGTTTAATTAAATAATAGTCACAAATCGGACATCTCATATCATATTCGTCTAACATAACTTGATTCAAAAGAAGCTCATCAATGACGGCATTATCGCCACAACTTTCACAATATTTCATGTCTAAGCTTGATATCTAAAAATATTGAAAATATTCAGTGAAATGCAAATATTTTGTTTTAATAAAAAGAGTTAATAAAAAAAAATAATATTTTCTATTTACCTGAATATTGGAGATACAACACCTACCAATATCGTGTAAACAAACTGGGTCAATTTCATCTGTATTTTTACCACAAAAGTTACAAATTTCTATAACATCGTCACATATATTATCATAGCATTCGGCTATATCGCTACTAATTATTGTTAAAGACTCATGTATGGGCTCATAAGCAGTATTTATAAATTTTTCATTTGCTAAATATTTATCAAAAGTGTTTTTTAAACATTTCGCAGATAATTTTTGAAATTCAGTTAAGTTTCCAAAATCCTTTTTTATTCTTAACAATCTCCAATATGCATAAATAGCTTTGATAGTTAAATTAATTAAATTAAGTTCGATTTCATAACTTTCTGTAGCGCTTCTTATTTTCTTAATGTTGTATGCAATTATATTGCAAATAATATTGTACCTAATTCGTAATCTATGTACAAATGCCCAGTCTATCAAAATAGGATCAAATGTGTACAGGCATAAATTATTGTCGTTTATATTTTTTATTAACCGTAAGCGAATAGATTCATAACAATCAACAAAGTTTTTAGAGTCACTTTTTTTTCTATCATATTGTTCCAATATTTTTAAGGGATCATGATAATCTAAAGTACAGCAAGCAACAAAAGTGGCGTGTCTTTGTCGTGTTAATATGAAATTTTTTTCAGGAAACATAACAAACATATACATTACATTATTTTCTGATGCTATCATACCGGACAAGGTATAATTTTCTATTTCCAAATCATTTGAAATATTCATAGAGTTAAAAATATATTCGTCATTATTATCAATTGATAATTTTATATGTTTTGTATGTCCGATCATTGTGCTTACAATATATTCATATGTTGATAGCATCTGAAAATCTAAAATTAGGTATTTGATTAAAATTAAAATTAAGTTTAGATTTTGTGGTGAATAGATTTATTTACTTGCAATTTGAGAGCCACAAAATTCATTTCCTTTGTATAAGATATTCCAATTTTTAGTAGAAACTATAAACATGAGAAAGTGAAATCCCTTATTTGTAGATATAACTAGTTTCATATTGTCATTATCAAAATTTACATTAAATTGTTTAGGGGACATTTTATCCTTTTTAGACCAAAGAATGCACAACTCTTTGAACTCATCGTCCTTTATTTGATATAAACCAATTACGCCATTTATATCAGAAACTATAACACCATTACAAAACTCATTTTCTTCATTTAAATACTTAAATAATTTTAAACGATTTATTTTATAAAACTTTGTTTTAGTTTTAAACAATAATTGAGCATCGAACACATCATTTATACATGCAGCATATAACCAGCCAGATATTGTTGAGAATAATAAAATATTTTTTTCAGTATGAAACCAACAGCAAAATGTGATAACTGTGTCTTCAATTAGTTGATTTAATATATCAAAATTATCTGTCTTTTTTTGTGGGAACAATTTTGTTATCAAATCATTCATTGACACCAGCGTTTTTTCATATGTTCTTGTTAAATCAGTAAAATCTAATATATCACATTGTCCGAAATTTGTAACAACTGCCATTATATTTTTATCAAATGAGAATTTTTTTGGCCAACATATATGCCGAGCTGAAGGTTCAATATTTACATCTGAAAATTCAGCGGCATATAGTGGGTCTAGTGAAAGTGTTTGCCTATTTAAAATATTGGACTCTTTATATATTTTAACCATATTATTATTTGTAAGAATTTCTTTCGTGGGGCTAGTTTTCGGCATTTTTAAAAACTCTATACGAAATTTTGCACCTTCAGTTGAATGAGGTATAGACTTAAGTTCAAATATGAGGACATCTTGACCAATAAGAAACATTTTCGCAGGTTGTTCTTCGTCTCTGTGGCATGTAAAATGATCCGGTATGTCAAGTACAACGTTGCTTAATGTAGATCTTATAAATATAGGAAATTTTAAATATTAAATTTTGATTATAAATTCAGAAGTAAAATACATACAGTTTCATGTTTGCAGTTTGTATGAATTTGTAAAAATAGTAAAAAATAACTATGATAAAAAAATTTATATTTTAGTTTGTTTACTAACAATCCATTTCTTGAATGTTTGAATGTCAAATGACAAAAACAAATAAATACATAGCTGCGTTCACTTTGTAGATGTCGATGAATTAAGAACGAGAACTTATTACGTTTATCCGGCAACTTGCTACATATATATTTGCTGGAATTCGAATAAATTTCGCATCTAAATTTTCTATCAAATAAATTTTAACTCAGTTACCTTAATTAAAGATAAAAATCTTTATCTTGCGAGCGTGATATGTTGGCCCAAAAATTATTACTTAATATTTTGATAAGTCATATTAACTTTGACATTATTACACTTTGGCATTGTCAAAAAATCACTAATTTATGGTTTAGTTAAATCCTTTTAAAACTAGCCCCGAAGCAAATCATTTGTTAAAATTTAGCTTCCTTTTGTCTTTTTTAAATTGTTTTAAAAGCCACATAACAAAAAATTATATTTTTTAAAGACTTTAAAAACAATAGCGAGTTAAATAATCTTCTGGCATTAAATCCTCTCAGAGAATTATTTTTCAACAGCAGTCAAAGTATATCATTATTTATTTTCATAGAAAATAAAAAATAAATCCAGATCTATTACAAGTTTTCAAATTGCAACATGATCCAAATTTTTGACAATGTTATTGAACATAACTGTTTGCAAACAGTTTTTGAACATACCTTTAATTTCGTAGTTATTTATGAATAATTTTTTTTCGTTTTGATTGTGAACAGACCTTGACATTAGATTATTTCTGTCAGCCGTGGAACAGACTCTTAAAAAATATACATAAGTAACCATTGAAAAACAGGTGATTTTTATAAACAAAACCTCAAATTTTTAATTTGTTTTCATTTATTTTGCGGTATTGCTAGAAATACACCCATACATATTGTTAAAATTATTACGAATTGTTTGTAAAATGTCTCAAAAGGGAGTACAGTTTTTAAAACAAGTTTCAGAATATATGGCGAAGACCAAAGGGTTTGATAAAGTTACAAATAAGGTAAGACATAAAAGTAAATATAAATGAATTACATAACTTGTAATGTAGTGCCACTTTCGTTTGGGAATTTAAAATGTAAAACAAAAATTTGGATACATTTTCTGTCTTAAAAATTCAAAATAAGTGATATGGTCCAGCATCCAAAATAAAACGTATGTAGTTCTATAATAAAATTTGTTTTATGAATTTTACGCCCAACTAGATACAAATTATGTACAAATGTACACATGTCGGTAAACAAATACAGATAAATTTTCCATTATAATAATTCTAATTTATTAAAAAGCTTTTTCTTTAAAGCCAGTTTTTCAAATTTTAGATAAAAATTATTGGGGGAGGCGATGGAAAATGTAGTGCCCAATTCACAGTATCAGAAGAACATTTGAATCGAGGTGGTGGTTTGCATGGAGGATTTACAGCAACTTTAATTGACAATATAACTACGTATGCACTGATGACAGCTGAAAGTCATCCCGGAGTTTCTGTCGATTTGTATGTTTCTTACCTTAAGGCTGCTAAAGAAGGTGATGAAGTTATTGTAGAGGCAAAAACCATAAAAAAAGGAAAATCTTTAGCTTTTCTTGAGTGTGAATTAAGACATAAAAAGGACGGGTCTATAATAGCTAAGGGAGGTCAAACAAAATATGTAAATTTTTCATAAATTTAGTAAATGTTAAAATTATTAAATGTTAAATTAATGTTAATCAAAAACAACATAAAAATAATGAACTTTTATTTAAATTTTTGCTTTTAAAAAATATCTAAATTTTTTGACTGTAATTCGATAATAGTTTATTTATAGGTAGGTACCCAACTATTTTATAGAAAGGAAAATCTTTGCAAGATATTCTTAATTTATCAGTTAAGTAATTTTGAATTTAATTTAGTTATAAGATATTTTGTATTAAGTTGAGTTATAGGAAACAAAATGTGATAGCAGTGCATTACCAGCGCAAATCTACATAGTAGATTTATTTTATAAAATAAAATTATGTTTGCGCTAGCAAACATAATTTTATTTTATAAAATAAATTTATTATCAGCAATTACTTTAATATTTAACTAGAATTTTTGAAAAATTGCGTTTCTTTATACAATTTGATAAAACAAGGAAACTACTCACTTTTAAGTTATGTAAGTACTTACGGTTTATTTACACTGAAGAGATGGTGTATCACAGCATGCTCCACGAAATTGCAAATTCAAATGATTTATGACAAATGAAGTGGAATAATCGTTATCCTTTCACCTTTTTTTCGTTTGATTCTTTTTTCGTTTAGTTTTTGTTAAAGAAATATTTTACACTATATTTCTTATATAAGTATGTATAACAAAATTCATTTATGATTATCTGTAATATTGAGAGAAATCCTATCAAAATGTATTGCCTGTCTTCACGAATCATATTTAACCTACCAAGGCTAATTAAAGTTAAAAATGAAATAGAAACTCGAATGTTTGTCTTTCAAGTAAGCAAGTTAGCATTACAAAATTAATCACCGTGATGCGGTTCTTGTACTACAACCGTTTTTGTTTTTTTAATTTTTGATACATATTTATGTAATAAAGATGTTTTTTTCTCGAAAGCATCGTTATTGACCTACTGTTATATTGTTATAATATACTATTAATTTTAAAAGTCATATTATTCTTATATTAAAAATTATTAATATCTTTTGTTGTAGTGATAATATAATTAATTTTTAATAAAATTTTAATTTATTTATTTATTTTTAACACCTGCTATTAACTTTTCATATACCTATGTATGTATAATAAAAATGTTCCATCGTATAATAAACATCTTCCTTCGTTTACTCTATGCATTGTTATATTTACATAGCTCGAAATACCATAGGTTTCATAAAATATTAAAAATTATATTAATTTATTACAAATTTTGCATATTAAAGTTTGTTGCAAAGATTCATCATTTATGTACAAAGTTTTAAAGCAATTCTAATAAAATTTTTAATTTTTAATTATATATTATGAAAAACTCATTAACACCAATGATACTAAGTGTCTTATGTATTAAAAAAAAGTGATATTAAAGCAAGATGTCGACTAATAAAATATGCAATATAGAACTTTTGTTTTTCCAATATGTATATGAATTTTTGTTAGACAACTTAAATAACTGCATGTACATAATACATACATATGTATGTATATTTGCATAATTATATAGAAATTTTACAACCCCAACTTGATATCATAAGATGTAAAATATACAAACTACATATGTATATATTTATGTACATTTGACAAACTGATCATATTAAAAAAATCATTTCCTATAATTCGCTTGCTTAGAGCAAAACTGTCCTAAGTCAATTTCTCTTAAATAAATTGTTTTGAGTAATATCTTATGTCAATTGCGTGCTTAACGCGAGATTTTATATTCGTTGATGCACACACTATAAATACAATAATTAAATTTAAAAATAATTCAAGTTAATAATTGTATTTCTACATAATATATTTTATTTATGTGAACACGGAATTGTCATCGAAATTTAAATCAAGAGTATTTTTATCGTTTAAAGCTGACTTCAGAGAATTTGAATAGAAATTAAATTTCTACCTTTAATTTACTCTCCTGAACAATTTGCAAATTGTGATTTAGGATAGTTCTGTTCTAGACTGGTGAATTAAAGTCTTAAATATAAAAGTGGGAAAGTGCAAATATTTTTTTAATAGGTAATTTTATTGTAATAGTTGTGTGTATTTGATAACTTTCCTTTTAATTTTTTTTACATTTTCTGCAATCATAATGTACTTACTTATGTAATATTGATGGAAGAAGTCTGATTAAGTAATTATAAACACTAGCATATTTACGTTACGTAAAATGTAATATACGAGTATACCAGTTATGTATCTCAGCACATACATGAAGAGCACATTTACATAAAGGATAGAAATCAAAAAATTTCATCAAAACAAAAATAGAAAACCAAAAAATTGTTGAAAGTTTTTAATGAGTTTTTGAAGTTGATTTTTTATATAATTATTGTTTTCGAAATAAATAACAAAATTAAAGTTAATTTTGTTCACAAATATGGATTTTAAATTGGTTTCACATATGTATATACATAAGTTCACATTCTTATTTATATATATAATGTACAAACTTATTACTATTATTTGAAATTAAATTTTAGTAGTGATATTGTTAAGTTATGCATTATGTATATAATGTATTTATTCCTCCACATACATACCAATATTTATTATTCTTCATATATAGAAAGTGTAAAATTTAGATTTAGGTTACAATTAACTTGTGAGATTTAGCAATATTTTAAATATACCCACTTACATAGGTATAGGAATTCATCTGTATTTTCCCTTCGGAAAAGCATATATGCTAATTACATAACAGTGATTAAAATTATACAGATTTGTGTATATGTATGTTGGTATATATAAGACGTTGGTACATTTTTATAAGATTGACTACCATAAGATTGATTGACTGTTTCGGCATAATCTTATTATAAAAGAAAATTCAGGTTAGCATAAATTTTAGAATTGGAAATTCAATGGATAAAGACAAAAATTCAATTAAAAAAATGGTAATTTTACATTACACATATACTTACATATATATTTTCCCTGATAACATGGCATTAGAATAAATAATTCTTATTTTATCTTCTTATTTTTTAAAAAACCGTACGTCACTTATTAAATTATATAATTTTGCTTAAAAATACCAAATTATAGAGAACTCATCTTACATTCCGAATATTCTTATTTCACCTTAAATTCTCAAAAAAATAAGTACGCGCACATCTTGTCTCTAGGATAAATAAAAAATGTATACCTTATCTATTATAAATGAGAAAAAACCAGTCGAAAAACTAGGAAATGTGGAAGGAGTTTTGTCTTTCTTATTACTTATTATTATAAAGGAGAAAAGAAAAATTTAAATTTGATCCTGTATTTTTAATCCAGACAGGTATATGGATGGTATATTAAAATGTAATAATGAATAATTGAATTGGCTGATGATGATGAAAATAATCTTGTCGGCGAAATAATTTTGCTATTTTCGTAGAAAAAAATTTTCCATAAAAATTACACTGTGTACAAGCAGGTAAGCTTCATTAATTTAATGAAATTTTAAATAATTTTAATATACTAGACAAGATAGTATGGTCTCCTTTTAATTGAATTCTAAGAAAAATATTTTTATAATTTAATTTTTAATTATTTATTTAGCTTTTTTTTTTTATTTCAGATGTCTAAGTTTTTTTTAAGTATTTTAAAAAATTTTGCAATTACCATTTCCTAATTTCTTAAAAATTCCAATGTTTTATTAATAATTTGAAGCAATTGAATGAATTAAAATTAATTTTAATTTTTAATAGTTTGCATGAATTAAAATATTTATTTAGATTTTAATTTCATACAAAACTTGGATGACTGAAAATCGGATGAACGAATCATGTACTCGCGGAGTTTCCATATTTAACTGTGCATACAAATTAGCTGTATAGATTATATTTTATGTAACCACACAAACAAAACAGAAAAAAAGTCAACTATTTTAATAAACTCATTTTAAATATTTTAATGTTGACTTTTTCTGAAATACATAAACACATACATAAACCGTATACGATGACGTGCTAAAATCTAAAACTAAATCACTAAACAAATATTTACCTACACTCTTTTTTTTTTCAAGATTTCAACGCTAATATTTTTGTATCACGAGAATAAACCAGGAAATTAATGGAAACTTATTTAAATTAATGATTACAAGAACAACATCAACAACGGCAACAAAGAAAAAATGAAAAATTAAACATGTACATACATACATGTTAGTGATTCGTACATATTATTGACATTACAAAGTATGTACATATGTATGTATGTATGTTCATGCATCATAAATTATTTCATAATATGGAAAACTTTAAAGGATAAACAGATTTTTAAAATTAAAAGTGAGGAAATCATACAAAAGTGCAAGTACAGTGTTATTCTAATTTAGTGTACGGCCTCATAATATTCATTTTTGTTAACAAAAAATTTTAAGTAAAATTGTATTGAAAAGTACACAATTTTACGATTTTAACCAGAAATTGATCAACTTATTATAGTCAAGAGAACATCGAATAAATGTAAGAGTTATTGCGTGAGTGCTACAGATGAATTCAGAATTGACCGAAAATTTGAAGTTTAGAATAAAATTTTTAATAACAGATTGCTCTATATCGTGCTATAGCATTTATTATTAATCTAAGCGTATGAGTGCTATAAATATGAAGTAACTAATAAAACCAACATATTTATTCATCGATGGTTCTAAGGATGGGAACCAGGTCAAATTGAATTATATTCTGATGCATAAACCGTTTTTGCCTCGTACCGGACTGCCGGACGCTAAGAGCCTCGTATCGTACGATAAGTTTTTGTAATATGAAGTCATCTGGAATCTTGAGGGGTGGGAGGCTTCTTTTGTGCTACGAAATGCCGAGCGCAAGATAATCCAAAATAACTTCAAAACCCCTGGGAAATGTAGTGGTAATCTGATTTCATTTTAATCATTTACATATGTCGTAGCTGTTGGGAGGTTGATAAGAAACAGACGCTCTTCACTATTTCTGTAAGCATCTGGCTTTGCAGACGGTGAGCATGGATGTACTTGACATTATCTCTAACAGAATTATCAGTGATGTACGAATGAAACTAAAATTTGAGCAATAATTTTCTTATTAAACCTTCATTAAATGAATGGGC